GGCCGTGGGGGGCGGTTGGGGTGACAGAGGCTGTGTGGGGAGGCAGAGGGGCCCTCAGGGCACCGGGATGCAGGAGAGGAGACTTGGGGGTACCTGGGCGGGTGGGGGGGGTGCAGGGGGGCCGGGGGCAGGTCCTGCCCCACGCACCCCCCCACAAAGCCCCGCTCCCTGCCAGGAACCGGCCCGAGGGCAAAGTGCTGGAGACCGTGGGGGTGTTCGAAGCGCCCAAGCAGCACGGCAAGTACGAGACGGGCCAGGTAAGGGACAGCGCGGGACGGGTACGAAATGGGACGGGTGAGGGACAGAGCAAACAGGCCAGGTGAAGGACAGCGCCAGACGGGACAGGTAAGGGACGGGTCCGAGACAGACCAGGCCTGCTGGGGAGCCCCCCGTGGCCCCTTGCCTCGGAGGTGGCCACGAGTTGCACAGGCCGGTGCTCCTCGTCCCTGCCGCGTTGCCAGTTTGTCACTCATCTGCCCGGGGGACGTTGGTCGGAACCTGCAGCGCGACACAACTGCTCCTGCAGCAGCCGCCGCCGGTGTCGAGTGTAGTTTCCCCTTGCTGAGTCCGGGGAAGAAAGCTAAACTTGTCATTTCCATGCTCGTTCCTCATATATCTGCTTCGTCTTTGAGTGAGCTCTTCCATTCTGGTCTCATTTCTGCACTTCTAATGTGCAGCGTAACTGATTGAGTTATAGCTGTTATAATTGGTTTAGTCATTCACTTCGATGGGACAGAGATGATGTAAATTTGTTCTTTCATCCCAAGCTGCAGGTGTTGCCTCTTTGTCTCTATATCTATACATTGGTATATTGGTGATTTTCCCTTTATTCCTCATATAAACATTGCTAATTCTGCCTCTATTCATTTTTTTTTAGATGTTATCAGAAATAATAAATGGCTTTTGGCTGTGTTTTGTGTTGTACCTAAGTTGACAGAAGTTTTCTGTGTATTAAAATGTAATCACTTTGTCTTTTCAGCTATTTCTTCACAGTGTGTTTGGTTATCGAGGAATAGTTCTGTTTCCCTGGCAAGCCAGGCTTTACGATCGAGATGTTGCTTCTCCTGTCACAGAAAAGTGAGGATTTGTTCTTGTTTATAAGCTGTTTTAACTGCTACATTTACATTTCTTGGAGCCTTTTTTTTTTTTCTTAATCAGGGTAAGCAAATCTTTTTAAGGAAGGCAATAGTACCAGTCTGTTTTGCGTGAACACCAATTGAGAGAGGTGCTGAAAGAAGAGAGACTGCTGGAGTATTAATTTTAATTAAGAGACAGGGTGGATTTATGAAGAAGGAGTGTGTCTGCCTAGAAAATAAAAACCAAGCCTCCCCACTATTTTTTTTTTTGGTAGCAAAACAAAACTTGGACTTGCTTTTTGAGTTAGGACTGGTCTCCTGTGTTGAAATTGGAGGCTGCTTCCTGTTCAGGTAGCCGGTGAGTTGCATTTGCCACCTGATTTCCCAGTTTCAGCCTGGGACAGGCCGTGTCCTGTTTACTGCCTTCCCGCAGCTCTCCCAACCATTTTTCCTGGCGGCTGTTGTTGGAGCTTTGCCAGGCGAGTGTGTTTGGCCAGAGGAGTGAGCAGATAGGGCAGGAATGAGCAGTGAAAACAGCTTCCCCGGACTGGCCAGGAGGCCCTTTGGAGCCATCTGGAAACAGAGCTGCTGTTCAGTGACAGTCACCATTGACTGTCATCCCAGCTCACCTACCAGCGTGTGGGTGGGTGACCAGAAAATATTTTGGATGGAAGCAGAATGGTTAAAGACTCTGAAATGTACTTGAAACACTTGAGTTGTACTTGAATTGTTTATGAGTGGGCTTGCAAGAACAGTTTCCTGGAAAAAGAGCTTGCTCCTGTGCGGAAATGCAGCGGCGAGGGGTGGGTTGAGGCTGGCTTGGGGCTGCTCTCAGCTCCGTGCTCCCCTTTTCCATGTAGGAGCGAGAATGCGGCAGGCCACGGCTCCAAAGAAGTCAAAGGCAAAACACATACCTACTATCAGGTGTTAATAGATGCCCGGGATTGTCCACATATAGTAAGTAACCAGTTACCTTCTTACTGCAACTCAGAGATCTTGTCCTGTGTGAGTTCTCTAAATGTGCAGCTGCTGGAGTGAAAAGGCTGACAGTGCTGCTAAGATGAATAATGTGAGTTCTCGTCCAGGGAATGTTTGGCACTTTTAGGACAAAGTCATTCTTCAAGTTGAGGTTTTCCTGAGAAAGATGGTCTTAACTGTCATATCAATATTGTCTGAGCTGTATTTCCCCTCTCCAACCTCAGTTCTTCTTCCTGTTGGTATTCATATTCTGTTGCACATAGGTGACAGCACCAAAACCCCTCCTTGCTAATTCTCCTTTACTGGAGAATTAATCTGAGAAGAAAAAAAAATAGTCTAATGTGAATTGCTTAAGTAAAATAAAAATTACACATCTGGGAGAGAATTGTAAATTGAAACCCGAACAGAAAGTGGTCTGAAACCTCCCTGTTTCTCAGTCCCAGAGATCGCAGACAGAAGCTGTTACGTTCCTGGCGAATCACGATGACAGCAGAGCCCTCTATGCCATCCCAGGTGAGTGCCGTGCGCACGCTGCTGCATCCTGAGCTTTCCAGAGGCGCAGACTGTTACCATGCAGGGAGAAGAGTCATAAACCTCTTCTGCTCTTCTCTATACTGGAGAAGTTGAGTGGCTTTGTTATTTTTTTCCCAGGTTTAGACTATGTAAGCCATGAAGACATCCTTCCCTACAGCTCCACCGATCAGGTGCCCATCCAGCACGAGCTCTTTGAGAGGTTTCTCATGTACGACCAGACTAAAGGTAACTTCAGCCTTCAGAGGGGAGTCCTGGCACCCAGCTGCTTAACCCGTGCTAAGACAAGTATCTGGAGCTCATCCTCTTAGATACAGTGTAAATCATGGCCTGCTTTGGGTTTTGTTGTAGTAAAGCCCCTTTTAAATAATTTTTGCAACTATTTGAGAGGTCTGAGGGGAGGACACTTGGTTGCCAAGTGCCTCTCCTGCTGAGCTGTCCTCTCTCCCCTGCCTGCAGTTCCACCTTTCGTAGCAAGGGATACACTGTGTGCGTGGCAGGAAAAGAACCACCCTTGGTTAGAGCTCTCTGATGTCCACCGAGAAACGACGGAGAACATCCGAGTCACAGTCATCCCCTTCTATATGGGCATGAGGGTAGGTCTGTGTGGCACATTGCACATTGGTTTTGTGATCTGTTTGTTTTACATGTTTGTCTAAGCCCAGCGTACAGACTGGGGCTGTTTGCTGCTTTTACTGGAGAAATGGCTGCTTTTTTCATAGTTGTGGTTGCATTGTCATTTCCAGCAGAGAACTTGCAACCCTTTTCTCCTATGATTTTGGAGAACAGCTCCTGCAGCTTGGCTCTTGCTTGTTACGTGTAGGATGTGAAATAAGCTGGACTGTTCTGCAGCACAGTGTTAGCAAGATATTCCTGGGGCTTTAGGAAAGACCGGGCAGTGATCCTTGACTGCCTGAGTCACAGATGGGCATGTGTGTACGGTGGCACCAAGGCCATGCGCCCTGTAACGACAGGCATGTGCTGCTCACCTGTCCAGCTGGGAGGTTGTGGCTGCCAAGGTCTGTTTGCTGCTTCTAAGGCAGGTTGGAGGGTTTGGCTGAAGCCTTCTGCGTTTCGCTGGTGCTGCGTGCCCTCTAAAGCTTAACAATTTGGTGTTCCTCATCCCAAATAATAGGGCCTGATGTTAGCCAACCGTTTCCTGAAGGGAGGGCTGGGGGTCCCATCGGCGCTTTGATTTCTGAGCCAGCTGAGTGTGGCTGCCTGGGAGCCTGGGCTGTTACATGGGACATTTCTGATGTGGAATTGCAGCTTCCATGGATCCCAGCTAATACTTGTCTTAACACGGCCAGACAAAGAGATACACAAAGGCAAAGACTGAGGTGTACCTAGACCTATATAATATGTCAGTAACACGGGCATCCATTTTTGGTCAACCCTCTATAGCCACAAGATCGGTGAAATTCTCCCAGCTCATGATTCCGTGCCCAGAGCAGAGCCAGCGCCAGGCGGGAGCTGCTGGGCCGCTCCG